TGACAGTTGGTGATGATGGAAGGAAGGAAACGTGGAGGAAGGTTCCACCCAAACATCCATGCTACTCCCTCCGTCCGGAAATACTTGTCATCAAAATAAATAAAAATGGATGTATCTAGATATATTTTAGTTCTAGATACATTTATTTTTGTTCATTTTGATGAAAAATATTTTCGGACGGAGGGCATGTATCTTCACGTATCTCTATTCTTAAAAGCGTTGGTAGCATGGTATCTTGATTTATTTTTGTCTTTTTCTTTTTTGCCTCACATCCCACCATTTTCTCCCTCCCATTAAAAAAAACAAATCCCATTAAAGGCAAAATTTTGTTTCATGCTTGTTTTGGCAGCTGATTATTCTATTAATCATGTAAACAATAAATAATTAAGAATTCAAAATCGCACCATATATGTGAGATCACCTTCTTAAAAGACACGCATAAGATTTTTCTTGATAATCTTCCAAAAATAAATCAGATATTCTCAATAGAAAATTGTTAATCACGCGCACTATAACATTTATTATTACCGTTATTTCTACTATAATTGTCAATCACAAGTTTCGGAATACAAAAAAAATAGCATATCTTTTCTTTTCTTATGGGCATACGCATCTGCTTGCCCCTATTGAGGGACACCATGTGTGACACCATGGAGGACAGTAACATCCCAAAATTCTAAAAAAATAATGTTATATAAATTAAGTAAATTTTATTATTTTGTTGTGACGTTGTTTGAAATTGAGTGGAGTTTGAAATTTGGATATGTTATTTGAAAATTTAAATAGAGAGGGAATGACTTTCTCCGTAAATTTGGATTTGAATATTCAAACACTCCACAATTTAAAAGAAAACAAAGGAAAAAAAGATAATATGACTTATTTAATTTAAAAATAATATGAAAAAGGAAACAATAGTTTTTTGTAGCTCATAAAAATATTTTTGGACATTGAATAAACACGAAAAAATTTATAGAATATTTTTGTTTACCAAGTTGACTTTATAATATAAACTAAATATTGTTTAAAATCATCTGGCCAAAATTATAAGTTCACGGGACTCCATGTGAGTCCAGGTATTATTTTGAATTTTATGGTATTTTAAATATTCATTTAGATATGTTTAGCACCACAAAACCCTTTTTTTTAAAGAATCCCACAAAACCTTCTATGCAACAAAAACACTGTTCGTCCGGCGGCCCATACTATCGCTTCCCACGCGTGCAGCGCAGCAGCAGCAGTTCAGCTCAACAGTGCTCCCAGTTTTCTCTTTCTCTTTGTTTCTTTTTCTCACATGCGTGGCACTGATCCTAAAAAAAAGACAATGCGTGGCACTTTGCCCTTTTCTGTGAATACCTCCGTACATCTAAATAGTCTCACATGGGAGTTGCTATCTCGCGCGCGCTCGTTACGATGCTCGGTTTCCGACAAAGTAAAATTTCCAGTTTAGGCAATCAGCGTGAGATTGAAATGGAAGGACAGGCCGGGCCCCACCATTGAAATCGGGGGGGGGGGGAGAAGATTATGAAAGGCAAGCTGGGCCCAGTAGTGGAATTCACGGGAGGAGGATGCGCACATATGCATGCATGGGCCCCATGTCCGACACAAACAGGTTGTTTCCATGTGTGGGCTTCGCGTGTAGAGGTCGCGCGCTGCAACGCGCGGCCGTGAAAGAGTCGTTTCGGTCTCACATTGCCTAGTCTTTGACTGTTCGGTAGACTTCTAGACTATATATCTACTACATCTAAATAGAAGCCCCCCACTACCTGATTTTCCTGCCTTGTGGTGCGTCCACGTCATCCTAATTATTTTCAGTCGTTTGTTTAGCCATGTATGGCTCAGATCCGCAGCTGATTTCCCCATGCTCCGTGCCCCTCTGGTTGGTTGACTCCTCCTTCCTCGACCCGCAGAACTGGAAGCGGAAGCGAAAGCGAAAGCGAAACTTCCTCCAACCGAAACGTGCGATGGAATCCCTCCTCCTTAAGCTGGTCTCCATGTCTCTCCCTTTCCCCGCCTCCCTCTCCCCAAACGACACGCATGCGGAGACCAACGCAGGAGAAATCAGCCGCCTCTAGGGTTTGCGGCCGTCGTCGGCAGCAGAACCGGTGGCTACGGCGGCGATGGCGGGGCAAGGGCAGGAGCACAAGGCAATCGATCTGGAGGATGGGTGGAACTTCAAGCAGAAGGGCATCATCTACAGGCTCATCAACATCTTCGAGCGCAAACTAGAGTTGTAGTTCAGCTGTACACGTAAGTCACCTCCAAGCCCTGAAGGCTAGGTCCGATTTGATTCGTTTCTGGTCAGGGCTTCGGCCCCTGTTTGTCCTTTTTTTTAGTGCAACACAAATGTGGAGCTCTCGCCAAGGCGGTCGATATACATCTACAGGTACATCTTCCTCCCTTAATCCTCAACCCACGGACTCTTGCTTCCTACCCATTCAATATTTTCATGCACCAGATTCAAGGATCAATTAACTCACTCATCTTGATCTGTCAAATCCTTTTTCTCAGTCAGGTTTGATGACGATTTGGATAACTATCTAGATTTATGTGAAAATTATGTACCCTTCGTCTAATGCTGTTTGCTAGCAGGCCATTGCTACAGATGCAGCCAAATTAATTTACCATGTATGTTTTGCACGGTTTTATGTCATATGGGGCAATGGTTTCTTATGTTGAGATTGTGTCGTTTGTAGATAAGCATCACGAATGGGCATAGTTGAATGGAAGTGTCAGATATGAGCTACTACATTTTCTTTAATTGATTATGTACTATGCGACTAGCTCGAGCTAGCTTGTGGCCATACTGCTCCATGTCTTATGTAGAATCAATATATTTCTATCATGATTTAACTTTATGCCAAGTGAACA